TCTAGTTATCCAAATTCCTTCCGAGAATTTGGTGGCGTGCCTGTTTTTCCATTTTCAGTTAAATCTAAAAATTGCTTCATCTTAATTAAAAATTTTTAGCTTATTAAAATCGGCGTCGCCGCCGGTAGATTATTATAGGCCTCCTAGGCAGTCGATTTTTATCGAGAAATCCGGAAATTTTACTTGTTTTTCTCGAGATTTGGTCACAATCGGGCAATCAAGTGAAACAAGACAGGGCGTAGCCAGACAAAAATCGGGGCCCAAAAAATTTTTCCAAGAAACTCAAAACATTGCTGAAAAAACAGCGCCGTAGGCAAAAAATTTTGAAAAAGGTGATAGCCTACAAATAACCGTAAAAACGGGAAAAAAATAGCGCCGCAGGCAGCAAAATTTTTGAGAAAATAAAAATCATAAGGGTCCCCCCTTATGAAATTTTCGGGCCCCGGCCGATTTCGGGGGCCCGGCCCCCGGGGGCTGTATTACGCTACGTCCTGCATATGTAGCTTCATCAGGAGATAGTAAATTTCTGGTTTAATGATCCGGTATCACCCATTATCTAGCTTAAGATCACCCTGCATTTTCTCTTTTTACTCTTCCGGATCTCTACGGGCACATCTTTTCATTCCTGGGGGTCGGCGCTTCCTTGGCTAGCCTTCCCCGGCTGCTGCTTTTTCTGTTTGCTTATGGCCTCAAGGGGTCAGTCCCCGGCCCCCGCCCCGGGGTCTGCAACCGACTTTCACAATCCATCCCTCACTACACCATACACCTCCTTCCACTTGCCACTTCCCCCTCAGATCCCTGACCTTCACACACTTTTTCTCTGATTCTCGGTCTCTCTCTCTCCATCAAGTCTTTTTTTCCCATTTCGCCTCATCATCTCCGCCCACACTAATGGAAGGTTAGTCATGCGCCCTGCTGATCGTTTTAGGACCCTTTGAAGTGGGCGGGGGGGGGCTGATCTTTGCGTAACGGCCTAGTGTATGCTTTTTCCACTAGAAATAGGCTTCAGAGGCATCAACGCTCGTGATGTGTTTTATCTTCGGCAGTTCATTGAGCGCATTGGAGGAAGCGCAGATTTTCTTGTAATTCTGCTGAATCGTTTCTAAGCGAATTTCGTATTGATACAGCGCAGTAGTTTGTGTTTTTATACTTTCAAAATCATTTTTAGTTAAACTAGTGTTGATTATAGATCAATATGCAATTTTGGCTTGTTACTTTTTCGTGTTTAGTTTTTTTAGGTAAACCAGCGGTGATCAATGAAAGAAGTTTACGGTGTGAAACTAGCCTTGTCCCGGCGATCTCTTTGTACCATTTTTGAGCCTGATGGGTTCAAAAAAGCCCAGTAGCGTAGTTGCAGGTGCTATAATAGTGTTTAGTGCAACGTAGCTATATTTTAGTGAACAACTATCAAAAAGCTCAGGAAACTTGGTAGAAAATCGTCAATTTTTGGTCGCAAAATTGCTGGTTTTTGTCCCAGCCGTTTTCAGCCCTCAAAAACCCTTAGAAAACTTATTTACGTAGTTCCACCGCTAAAAGAGCACCAGATCTCTGACTTGCAAAGTTGTGCAACAAAACCAGTGCAAGTTCCGCCCGTGAATTGATAGTGTCCGTCATCCATGTCCGTAAAGTGCGGGTAAACAGGCCGTACGGAACATCGCCAATATACAGGTGCCCAGTGATTTGGGGTAAATACATCGAGACCATGAGTCACGGAATTGGGCTTAAGGGAGTGGAGAAAAAGATGAGACCGCCGGTCGGAAGGCCTTTTTGGGAGTAGATACACACAAACAGACGGCAAATTCGGGCCGCGGACACACGAACAAACCGGGGCTGCAAACAAACGGACGGAGGAGGGGGGATGGGCGCCGTGAATCATCGGCCCTCCCGATTTTGGCCCCGGCAGTCATCACACATTCTATCTTCCCTCACTTCTTACTCTCGGTCCATATTCTTGGCGAGATCTATTCTGCACCACGCGGTGACACCTCGTAATTTTTTGATCATCTAGCAGCTACGCCGTCGAACATTCGTCGTTGTTCGTTCGTTGATTTAACAGTGAAAGTTTTGAGGATTCATTCCTGTCGCGTGGTTGATTTTTCCGGTTCACCATTTCCTTGCGGGACCCCTTTTGAGACTACCTTTCCGCTGTGGTATTATTCGTGCTTATTCATCCTTGATTCATCGTGCACCATTTTCTTACCGCGAGCTCTTTTCGGGGATCCCCCTGGCAACAATTTTGATTATTCATCCCTGATTCATCTCGATTTTCTATTGTACAGATGGTACGCGACGCTACGGGGAATTTGTCAGCGTTCTGAGTGCATTGGGGTGCTTATAAGCACCATTGTCGCAGATTTATCTGTAAGCTTTTCCTCGTCTTTTTACCTTTTTTTTGAGGAAATCTACGTGTGGCTGGTTGAACAGCTGATTGAGGACATTAGAATCAGAAATTAAATTCCACAATGGTATTCAATGGTTGCCGTTATTTCAATTACGTTTCTGTACTTCGCAAAGAATTTTTGATACCTTGTTGGCCCGGCAAAGTACGGAACTTCAGATAGTTTGCCCATGCTCAAGTCTCAAGAATGCCTTTGCCTTCCGGTTGCAATGAAATTCCAGAGCACCCTCGAAGTATGCAAGGAATTCGAGCTATCCCGGCAGGCTCGTGCGACTTTTTAGGACGCTCCCACTCACAGCTGCAGCGCGCGAAAACAGGTGTCACCCTGTTTTGACTGTCCTTTCTCGATTTGACGCAGCGAATTATGGCTGACATGAGGAATTTGGCTCTGAGGAGCCGCTTTTGTTAGCTTGGATCTGAAATATTAAGACTTTTTTTGGTCTTCTCCGGAAAGTTAAGTTCTTTTCTTTCAGTACTTTTTTGGGATTCGGGTTGTAAGTGATTATTAGGTTAATACAATAGATTGAAAAATCTCGAATTTTGAAAAACGTTTACTCGAAAGTTTCTTTTTCCAAGTTTCATTTCCTAGAACGTTTTGGAACTAATTCTGTGGCCCTTTTCATGCGTGTTTTGCGGTGCCTCATTTGCATAAGCTTCAACTCTATGAAAACTTCTATGAACTTAAAAATGCTTTTATTTTGATGGCTTCTGGAGGTTTCATCTTGGAAAAATACCGTATTCCGCACGTTTATCGGCTCGATACGTTGAAAAAGTTAAAAAATTGAAACAAAATTTGCCGTAGGCAATGGTTCTTGGTTGTAAAAATCCTTTTTTATTGGTGTTGGAGTTTTTGTTAATAAAAGCGGGGGGGATCTTTTTAACGGTTTTATAAATTTTGAAGGGAAACGATTTTTTGGCAGATCCACTGGGCGGAATTTTGTCGGGTAATCCTTTCCTGCAAGTTGCAAGAGCTGCTCTTGCAAAAATCGAGCGCAATCAAGCGTGACCCTCGGGGTGCAAAGCTCCTTTTTATGAGCGTGAAATTCGCCGAATTTCAGGCGGTTTTGGGCGGTTTTTTGCGAAGGTTGTGGTTGGGATGGCTTACGTAGGCCATCCCCCCCCCCCCCTCCTTCACTTCCACTTTCCAGCGCCCGGCTGAATATCGTTTTGTGTGTGGAGGGTGGACGGCCTGAGCGTGTGAGTCATATCTAGCCTCAACCCTCCCTGTTCTGTGCGCTCTGATCCTTTCCTCCTCCTCCTCTTTCTATTCCTCTTTTTTCATTCCGTTTCACTCCGCCCTACAGCCCCTCCCGAAAATACGGAAAGGATTGGAGGGGGAGGGGGCGGGCAAGACAACAGCAGCACGCACTCCTGCAAAAAGCGGGTCAGATTGCTTACGGATTTGCGAGGAACTGTCTGATAGGTTTTCAGTTTGTTTTTAGTCTTATTACTGAGTTTTTCAGGTTTGAGAAAATCTATTCAAAATGCAGTTTTTAGCCCGGATTTCTTGATTTTAACAATTTTGTAGAAGGAAGGGCTTATGCAATGAAATTCCTGAGCGCGGCAGAACTTCTTTCTCTCCTGTAGGTAGGCTCGCCGGGCTCTCCTAACTTTTCTAATCAATTAGCAATATCGAAAAAGTGGCTAAGCTGAAGGCGTAATTCCTTTTTTTACGTCAGAGCAGCATAGCTTCGTTAGTGTTTTTCCAATCGGGAACCGATGAAGCCATTCCTGTTCTTTATGCAAACTGTTTACACGGTTGCAAAAAAAACTAAATTTTCTCGTTGTCCTTTCGTTTATTCACAAATTTTCAAGCCAATTTTTCAAGCTTACTTATTTTTTTGGCGAAATTCTGGGCTGAACACTGTGTAGTTAGAAGTGTTTCGTAGCTCTCAACGCTCTCAGCCAACTGAAAATACCTTAAATTTCTGAAATAATGAACGCTAGGGTACACGTGGCACCTTTTGCTAGTCCCGTTTACCAGTTAGTAACTGGTTCTTGTGCCAAGGGGGACCGAAGCGTTACGTACTGGTTTTTTGGCCTCGGGTGGTTTTTTGGGCTTTCGAAATATGCATCTCTCTCGCTTTCTTTCACTCTCTCTTCTTACGCTTGAAAATTCCCCTTCGAAAAACAGCTTCAAAGCTCAGCCGTTGAAATTCCTGCACGCCGGGCCAAACGGCCGGAACGTCACCTCTTATCAGTTGAAAAATTGGCCCATGGTCCTGGGAATTCCCCAGGCTTTGGTTTGATAGGCAGGAATTACCAAATCGAGGGCTTATTTTTATAGGATAAGCTATAGATTTCAACTTAATAGTGTTCTAGAAATTCAGGACTATCTATTTAAATTGGCTATTTTCACCGGTTAAATTCTCCTCGTTTCGCCTCTAGCCAATCGATCCGGCTTTTCGGGCTCGGGTTTCCCCGCGAGTTCAAGGTCGTACAGCTGCATTTTTGAGCTTTTGCTGGTCTCTTTTGGACTTTTAGTGGCTACGCTGTTCCTTTCACTAATTTAAGCTCATCTACAATTTTAGTGCTTCGTTTTCGATCCCGATCTCAATTTCGATCCGACTGCATTGAAACAATATAATTTTTCAGAGCCCTAATGAGATTACTACCAACAATATTCTTGCTCACCGCCTTCCTCGCCATCACGTTGGCCCAAAAACGGGCAGTAGCAGCGCCGCCAGGTTGGTATTTATTAAATTGCAATGAGATAATATTAAAAAATATTTTTATCGAAAAAATTTACAATATACACAAAATACCTTTCAAAAAAAGGTTGAAAATCCTGATTTTGGGACATTTTCGCTATTTTTCTGATCGTTTGAGGCAGCCATTCGATAGGGCAGCAAAAAATATAGTGATAGTTTGCATTTGGGCTCGAAAAATGTACAATAAAATAGTCAAAAAAACACGGAAAACCTGGAAACACTAATTTCATGTTATCAAATTTAATATTTATTTTTTGAAAATTGTCGCAGCAGAGAGAGAGAGAGAGAGAGAGAGCAAAAATTTACTAAAAATTTTTTCCAACATTAAATAATTTCCAGGCGTCCCTCTGATCAGCTGTTTCCGGTGCCTCTCCACAGAACCACGATGTACACGCACCTGCGTCGGCAGATATTGCTACAAACTCGAGCTCCGCATCGAAGGTACGAATTTTTTACAGCACCTTGCAAGCCGAGTGCCGCCTCTCTATCTATAATTCTCTCACTCTCTCATTCTCTCGCTCACTCTCCGCATCCTCAGTTCATCCCTCGCAATATTATTTCTGCAGATGCCGACGGCCAGCCTGGTGAGGAGGGCAAGTTTGGGGTGTGCATGCTTTCCTTTTCCCGGCGCACATTTTCGGGTTTTTAAAGGAGCCGGGAAGTCAGAAACTGGGCGTGGTAGTAATCAATAAGGAATTTTTAAAAAAGTGGAAAATATCGAAAAACCCAGAAAGATAGTGAAAATATCCAAATTTTTGGGAAATATCCTATTCCGCCTGAAAGTATCGGCTTTCTGACTTTCCTGCACCTTTAAAAGTTGTCATCGGTTTTAAGAGTTTTGAAAGGATTCTCCTTTTTCATAAAGTCAAATTACGTCTATCGTTAACCATACCAAAAGCTATTTTAACACTGCTAGAATTTGACCTAAGATTCTTGCTGCTTACATATGTTTCTTGGGTGCGAAAAACGTTTTTTCATGACCTCCCGACACCTTTAAAAAGCTGCCGTGCACTTTTCTTGCTTTTAAATTTTTCTAGCACGTTTTCTCTTTGGGATTTCATGGAATGGCTATAGGTCACATAACCAAATACCCCGAATTTTCCACAACACCACTATACACGGCTTTTAACAAATATAATTTTTGTATTTTCAGGCAAAATCCCCAAGGTGAAAAGCGGATGCACGAATTCCACCGACGCCGGCCTGGAGGTGGGCGACGATGGGATTTGCCAGACGCAGGGCTCTTCACTTCCCGGGTCGAGTACGAAGAAGTCAGAGACGTAAGTAGTTCTTGTCGTATTTGTATTAAAGGGGCGTACAAGGCAAAAATAGGCCTCTTGCTGGCTTATGGGTTGCCGGTTTACAGGCGCGAGTATTCCTCTTTCTATTGCGCAATCGATTACCAGCCTATTTATGCGGAAATTACGCGTTGCGTGTCGCGGTGCGGCAAAATTCATGCGAAAAACTTTGGATTTTCGCTGTTTGTGTATATTTTTCTGGATCCTAATCTAGTCGCGATACGCCAGCACTTCTTGACGGTGCTAAAGGTGTCGTAATGGGTTACGCAATGCAAATCCAAGTCAGTTCGATCGCCCAAAAATCCATAGTCATGCCTTGCTTGCTCCTTTAAAATAAAAACGAATTGGACCAATTAAATATCGATTTATTACTTTTTCAGGATGTGCCTATGCCAAACTGAAAAGTGCAATTCTTCTCCAGCTACAAGATGGTGGCTCTCGCTTCTACTACCAGCTTTTGTAGTCTTGTTTTTGAGACGGTAAAACTGTTAAGATCCGTATAACCTCAATGTCCCCATACATATCTCGATTCCGCAAAGAACCTTTCTCTGTTTGCCCCCCCCCCCACCGATCCACGAATCTTACAATTGATCAGCTTTTTGTACAAACCTCGGGTTGTGATGTGTCTTTTATGCAATTTGATTAGATCGCCATCTCGGTAAAAAATGGCTGCTAATTCCGGCTTTTCCGGTGGATTTCCGGCCTTTATGGTCCTGAAAAATCCAATCGAAAATCACCCCGTTCCACACCAAGTCACTTCAAAGCATTTCCGGGTTGTGAATCGAGCAATCTCTTCTTTATGTCGATGAATCTAATTTAAGCTAGCATTATAATATTATATTCTTGAAATTCACTTACTTTCTCTCTCTCCTCTCTCTCTCTCTCTCTCGCTCTCTCTCGTCTATCTCTCTGCCGCTGTGATTTTTGTCTGATTGTACCCTATACCCTGATACTTTTCGTTGCTCAGCGAGTTTTTTGAGTACCCCACCCCAACGTGTACCCTGTACAGTCGTGTAGTCGGGCTAGAATCTTTGTTTTTTGCGCTTTTAGATTGTTTTTGAATAAAACTAATTATTACATGGACGTAAACAACAAAACGAGACCTTAATTTCATCATTAAAGCGAGAGAGAGAGAGAGAGAGAGCGAGGGAAACAGAGCGAAAGAAAGAGACAGGGAGCTATTTCGCTATGTTTTGCATTTTTAAAATTTGAATAAGGATTAGGTTGACGCTATTTGCATACATTTCGAGGTCAAAAAACCACATCCGCATCAAAATCGTGTCATTTTCGATTCCAACCGAATCCCCACTTCCACCCATCGTCATCTACCAACCTCCCGGCCCAGCTTGGTGTTCATCTACCTACGCGATGCCGCACGCGATGGGGATGTCGATCTTCTTGCTGCTCATCTTCTCCCCCCCCCTTTTTTTTTTTCCTTTTTTTTTGGGGGGGTTTATTTTTTTTTGTTTTTTTTTATTTTTTGTTTTTTTTTTTTTTTTTAAAAGTAGAGAGAATTAGAGAGTGGGGAGGGGGGGGGTGTTTTTTTGCCTGCCGACGATTCAAAGTGGTGTTCCAAAAAGCGACACGATTAGGCCCATGGAAAACTTAGACCACCATAATGCAACAGCACCCAAAAACCGAAGATAATGCCTTGCCGAACCCTTTCATAAACACAGTTTTTGTTTTCAGCCGCGAAAGTGGTCTGTATCTGCGAACCGGAGCCCTGCAATCCCCCGTGCGAGGGAGACGCTTGCTATCGGCGCGAGGAGCGAGTCATAGGTATGAAGATATATTTGCGCCTCTGAAATTCGTTTGTAGGGCAATTGGTAAAGCGGGAAGCTGGATGCGCCGACATGCAGTGTAAGGAAGAGCCAACGGCGTCTAAAGTGGTTAGGTAAGGGATTTCGATATATCTCTCACCGTCTCCCCTTCTCCTGCTATCTCTCTATGCCCTTTCGATCGCTTTCGCCGGCGCTCTCTCTCTCGCTCCTTTCTCTCTCTCCCTCTCTGCCCTCTCCTCTCCACTCTCTAACCCGCCCGCCTGATCTGCACCGCTTGTCTCTCGTTTGCCGCTCTCCCTCTCTCTCTATCTATCTATATTTCTCTCGCTCGCTCTAACTTTATGGAACTTTTTCAGTTGCGTGGTATGCCACACGGATTACTGCAACAAGAGGGAAACAACGGAGGGCCCGAGACATGGACTTCCGAAAAACTCTTCGAAGCTTCGCTACACCGTCATCTGGCTGCTCATCCCCATCGGCCTTATCCTGTTCTTCTGAAAACCATGTTTTGTATAGTGCTGTGTTGGTTGTGTATATCTGGTTTTAACGCTTCTATGAATAAAAATGGGAATGACTGCGACTTGACGACACGAAGGGAATAAAGAATACATAAAGCGCTTTGAGGGCCTTAGGGAGGATGCATTTGGCGAAAGAGAAATATTTATGGACGCGATAAAAAATGAACAACATGCTACGTTTTGAAAGTTCTTTGCACCGATGATTGGTTGAGTTTTGTTGCTCAAAGTTCAAACCAAAAAAGGTGCTAATTGCCATGAGCCGATGGTTGCGTGCCGGCTTTTGGCACGCAACCATCGGCTCATCGATTTTTCGTCACCTTGCTCGCCGAAAATTCTGTTAATTTCGCCAAATCTATAAAACCAGCTAGATCCTCCCTAAAAGTCCTATTAACCATTACTATTAAAAATTAGTTGTCGAAACTGAAAGAATTTTCATAAATGGAGAAGTACTGGCATTGGCTGGCGTCAATCTTGGTTTTTACGATTGTCGGCGTTTTTGGAGCTGCATTTTTGTATTATGAGGTAAGATGATGCGCGTATTAAAAGGCCGTCCGCGAGTCACTCGAACAGCCCCATTATAGCTTGGCACAGTTTCGACCCCCATTTGATGCCACTGAAGAGCGGGTCAAATTAGAGGAAGCACAATTTGGGATTTTAAATTAGCATCTTCCTAGTTAAACAAGGCGTAAAGTGCCAACGTCCAAAATTTACTCGACGACACTTGACAGAATTGGCGAAACTTGGTGACTAGGCCAATTGGGATGGGGATCATTTTCTAATACATCGCGAAGCACGAAAATTAGCAGAACCTAGTTAAATTGCAACCCAAAACAGTTTTGCCAAATTTCAAATTAACGGCGAGTCGGCCGCAAGCTGGAATTAGGCTAGAAAGATGCGCAAAATTTTTCTGCATCGATGATGTATTATTTAGATGGCGGCCGGGTCGCCGTTTTCTCACAGCGAGCTTTTATAGCTGAAAAATGGTCAGAAAATCTGACTAAAACAAAAATTTTGCGATTTTCTATGTTTTGACCCACGGGGTCATATTTAACGACACGCCAGCTAAACGCAAAAATAGCAAAAAGAAATTCGACATTTGAAGGGGTGCTGTTTTGGGCGGGAATCGAACCTGACCCTCCGCCTGGGAGCCCTGTGGCGCAGTGAGAGAGCGTCGGGTGCCAATCCAGAGCCGCCGCCAGTTCAACCCAGCCACCTCAGAAGCCGAATTCTTTGCTCTTTTGCAATCGACTTGGCATGATTTCGTGATGCGTTTGACTACTCCGATATGTAAATACCACAATATTTTCCATTTTAGTCAGATTTTCAGACCATTTTTCAGTTATAAAAAGCTCGCTGTGAGAAAACGGCGACCTGGCCGCCACCTAAATAATACATCAATCGATGCAGAAAAATTTTGCGCATCTTTCAGCCTAATTCCAGCTTGCGGCCGACTCGCCGTTAATTTGAAATTTGGCAAAAACTGTTTTGGGATGCAATAACTAGGTTCTGCTAATTTTCGTGCTTCGCGATGTATTAGAAAAATGATCCCCATCCCAAATTAGGCCTAGTCACAAAGTCAGCCAATTGTCAAGTAGTCGTCGAGATAAATTTCGACGTTGGCAACTTTAACGCCTTGTTTAACTAGGAAAATGCTAATTTAAAAATCCCAAATTAGTGCGATTCCTCTAATTCGACCACGCTAGGGTTGTTATATGAGTTGGCTTGCACGCAAATTTATTTGCCGAGGACTTTACTCAACAACTGGCAAACAATTTGTGGCAAGCAAATTAGGAAGTCAAACTCAACCGATTCCATTTTGTTTGATGGGTTTATTCAGGCCGGGTCAAACAATTTTGACGCAAGTAAACTCGACGGCGAGTTGTTGTTTGACCTCGAAAGTTTGCCGGAAGTTGCAAAATGCTATTTTGAGAAGGAATGCAAAAGTTTGGCACCAAATTTAAATGACCCAACTTTCGTTGTTTTCATAATTTCCCTTCTCAAATTAGCATATTTGCCTCCGGCAAACAATTCGAGGTCAAACACAACTCGCCGTCGAGTTACTTCAAACATTGTTTGACCCGGCCTGAATAAAAGCCGCACAAACAAAATGGAAACGATTGAGTTTGACTCCTAATTTTTGCCACAAAATTTTGCCAGTTTTGAGTAAAAATTCACAAACAACCTCGGGGTAAACATTGCTAAGCATTTTATGCAAACAAAGCCTGTAAGCCAACTCATATAACAACCCTAGACCACGCTCTATCAGATGGCATCAAAAAATGGGGGTCGAAAATTGCCAAGCGCCTTGTTCGGGCCTCGCAAACGGCCTTAAGACAGCTGAATTTTACTGTCTCTTTTCATAATTTTTCTAGTTAAGGATTTAGCTAATAGAACCTTGCGCAGAGATTGAGGACCCAGTTGCCAAAGCACAAATCACGATGGATAGTCGCGCAACGACATGCGGATATTTGCTGGTAGGTTTTGGGACTTTAAAGGCGGCGGGAAGGTTAAGAATCTTCTGCTAGCTACGCAAAGCTCCTAAAAACGATTGACTAATAGCGGCGAATTATGACCGCACCCGTCATTTGGCTTATCTCGTAGCTGTCCAGCATAGCCAGCATTAAAGGGTGAATTCTATCGCATCCCAGCCCTCTTAAACAGCTTTTTTAAACTTTTTTAGGCCTCCGGCTCAACGGGCACACTAATGGCGTCATGGCAAGAGTTTCTGGACACCATTTCGGTGATCAACAAGCCAAAATGGCCAAAGGGCGCGGATGGGCATGCCGATTTGGCGATTAATGAGGCCAGGGCGCTCTCACTGTTGCCCACCAAGTTGAAGCAGGTCAGCTCTTGCCTAATAATTTTGATTTAGCATGAAAGTCTAATATTTATCGTAATTACAACTATCTAATTTTATACAAATTCAGGTAGCAAATCGCAACCCTTTGCCCCGAATTCTGGAGTTAAACCCGAGAAGCGCGGCGAGTACTGTGAGACTTATGGAGACGGCGCAAGTAGTTGAACACTTCTTGGAGCATATTTTCAGCATCAATCTAGAAATTTGCGCGGGAGAAAACGTTCCATCTGATCCCCATTTCCAGCTGGATGTCGGAGCCGTATATTTCGAAAAATGGGACGTTAAAACGGGTCGAGATCTATGAGTAAGTATCGGAAGGCAGCGGAAATTTTTGGATTTTGTTCATAGCTTAACCCTTTTTGAAATTCTGGAGAGGAATATCTTTGGTATAGGCGGGTGTTCACCGAGGACCCGGATCGGCAAGGATCCGGATCGGATCTGGATCCGGATCCGGATCGGATCCGCAGTAGGAAAAAAGGGACCGGAAGTAATATCATCGATTCTGATGCTGATTCGGTCATGTTAACGCAAAAATACATAGCCCAGAGCAGAACGATTTTGCATCTAAGAATTGCACTTAACTCGTTGCATATCCATTTCCTTGATCCGATCGGATCGGACCGCCCTGAATCTGGATCCGATCCGATCCTACGGGGTTCGGATCCGATCCGATCAGACCAGATCCGGACCAGTCGACGAATGACCAACCCTGGTTATAGGGCTTTTTCAGACTTTGTTGAATGACTTAAAAATACATATAATTCAAAAGCCTTTAAACTTTGCTTGAATAACTATCCTAATGATTTCCACGTGGATTTTTCCAGCGGCTATGAAGACTATATCATGGAGCTGAAATCGCATAATTTATTAAATACAGTCTTCCCTATACGACTACCGCCTGCTGTAAGTTTTCTATTTAGTGACGACTCAGGGCTACCTAGCAGAGCCAATTCGGGAATTCCCTTTTCAGCATGGCGCCCGGGTGATCGAGTGCTCCGGGGCGTCATTTCATATCCTGTACGTCGGCGCCAGGAATCTAGCGGAACTTACCGTAGCCCTCGAGCTGTTCCCGATTTTCTTGGAAGAGCGAAGTTATGTTATTGGCGAGTTGGCCGAGCAGCTTCCGGAATGGGGAGGTGGGTCTCTCCCGCTCTCTCTCTCTCCGCGCACTTTCCCTCTCTCTCTCGCCTCTCTCTGTCGTTCTCCCCCTCCGTCTCCTTAAATTATTTTTTTTCAGAAATGAACACCTACATCCAGAGGTTCGCGAGCGCCCAGGGCGGCCTCGAGCAGGACGGTCAGTTTTGGGCCGTACAGATGCGGAATTTAATAATCTAAATAAAAGTATTTTTTGTAAAGATGTATTGTTATTTATGTTACATTTATTACGTAAGAAAAGCTTTATTCAATTTCCCGCACAGAACTATGTACAAAAGTGGCACTTGGATTACACATTCACGTCAATAGGTGTCATGTGGAACAAACGTTTTCGGACGAAATAATTGGAAAATTAGGGTCTAAAGGGCAGAATTTTTAGCAAGCCAAGTTATCACGCAAGCCGACAAGGTTTTCAAACTTGTTGTAGATGTTCTGAGAGTTGACGAGGATGGAGAGTTGGCTGAAAAAAAACGATTTTTTTAATTTGTAGTCTGTGGCTTAGTAGTTTGTAGCTTAGCGTAGCCCAGCCCTACCTTGAAACCTTCTTGTGATTCGGCGCCAAGACGAAGAAACGATTCGCATCATTTGCCAGCATTTTTTGAAGGGGATCCGTGTAGTTTTCGGAGCTGAAATCGAAAAATTAACCTGAAGCTTGAAACGGAGCCTGACAGCAATTCATTGTGTTACGATATGTAAATCAGCAGAATTTTCCCAATATTGTTGATTTTTGGGCAGAATGTAATGATTTTTAAGACTATAGAACCTACCTGTAGCCATCAGACACAAAAATGACATCAACTGGCATCGAATTCTTGGCAATTAGATCGTTTGCCAATTTTAGAGCATTAGCCACGTCTCCAACTCCACCAAAATAATCGATTTCTGAAAATCACACCAATTTCCTTTATTTTTTTTGCATTCTTTACCGTTTAAATTTTAACCTAGTAACTTCTTAAAAATTAAATTACTATGGCTTTGAAATAAATTTCAATTTACTTACCCTCAATTCGCCTCATAAAGCCCAAATTGTCCAAGCGCTCCTCAAACTTGGCAACAGTCCTTGTCTTGTCAGTCGTCGAGAAAGCAATCAAAGAAGCCTAAAAGGTGTCTGAAACTTCGGGACTTAACCTACCACTTTCTGCCAGGGCAAAATTGCCGAATTGACGATCTGTTTAACGAGATTTCGGTTTCTCTTGAAAACCAGCGGGCTGGTGCCGGTAGTATCAAAGAGGACAAGGAGATCACGGCATACCTTTTTTTTTCTCTTTTTTTTTCCTTTATCACTCTCGGGGCCTTTCTTCCCCCTTGTAAATTTCCGAGTTTTATACAAATGATTGCTGAATAAAATTACCTGGCTCGGCGACGGGTGGTTTTGGCTGGAGAAGGGGCATGATGGTGCTCATCTGGGGGAGACGGGGTATGATTTCGACAGGATCATTTGCTAAAATAAGATATTCTAATTTTTTAGAGAGAAATAAAGAGAGCAAGAGAGAGAGGGAGAGAGGGAGAGAGAGATACAAAGAGCGAGAGAGCTACAGAGCTCGTGCGAGAGAGAGCGATAGTGAGAAAGATACTTACCCAAAACTGGAATATCCGAGAAAGGAGGCAAATGGATCAGCGGCTTCCTGTCGGTTTCTTCTAAAAAACAAATAAGTTCTTTAAAATAAATATTTAATCACCCGAATCCATAACATTAATGCTGCGCCTCCATCTGGCGCTACGGCTCGTCATAAAATGCGTCGGGTCAAAGTCCATGAACTGGGTGGAGAAGTCTGAAATTAAGGTTAGTTAGCTAAAATGGATTTTTTGGTGGGCAAGGGTTAAAACAAGGGTATCATTTTTACAAGTTCAATTAAAATTTAAAATTAAATAAAAATTCTTCATTTCCCTATCCCCCTAAAAAAACCCACCATTCTTTTTTCCCAAAACGTTTCCCCTCGGTCGTTGGGGTATCCATGCCCAAGAATGTTGTGGCGGAGGTACGCCCGAAGGTAGTAGTACTACCCTTGCCAGTTCCTAGCCGGAACACTTGCGTATCTTCGGTAGGCTGGCTCTAGAAAAGCCTGGGTAGCTCCAGCTCATCAAGCTACGTTCTTAACTTTATTTTGCGTACATTCCTTTACTTTTTTCCATAGCGAACACAAAAAAATCTGATTTCTAGTTCCCAGTGGGTGCCATCATTTGCAAGGCGGTCGACCACTTTTTCGATTTCATCGCTAGTCATCGGTGACGATAAAACACAGAGTGTCAGGCAAGGGGTCGACTGGCACGTTCCACTACGCAAACCGGTTCGGGGCTGTGGAATTACGGATAGCCAAAAAAAGATAGCGGACAAGGAAATATTTTTAGAGGATGAGTAACCAATTTTAAGGGGGATATAAAGTGCCTCTTTTTTTTTTCTCGGGTTTGGGGGGGGGGGGGGGGGGATGGAACTTTGGGGGTTGGGGGGTTTTTGGGGGAGCGGGGGGGGGGGGTTTTGGTGGGGGGGGTTTGCACCTTTTTTCGCGAGGCCTAAAATAGTTTAACTTACAGTCTTATGTCTTGATCGATGTGTATGCCAAGCCGAGTGGCTTCCCTGACTCTCGAATTTCTTGTGCGACAGCTCGGTGTCGTCGATGAACGAGCTGGAGGTTTGTTGGTCCTCGGCGCGACTGAAAAAGGAAGTCTTAATGATACTAAAACGATTGTTGTCATTTTTTTGATCAAAAGCGCGACTTACTGTCTACTCTCCTGGGTCTGTTTAACCAGATCGGCATCCGGGGTCTCGTGTACTGCTGTGCTCATTTTCTTCGCCGAGTCCATGCCCTTTGAGTCGAAGGTGGTGGCACCAACTGAACATTATCATCTTTTAGTTTAACTTTAAGGTTCCCAATGAGGTAAATAGCAAGCTATCGAAAAATATTTGAAAAACACGAAATTCTAATACTGAACGTCCAGAAAACAAGTTCATTTGTGATAGCTAAACATGTTTTCAACAGCTGTCATTAATGCTTGAAAGTATCCTATGAGACGAAACAGTAGATATTATCATACATGCACACGTAAATCTTCCCAAAACAACCCACTCGATGTCGGGCTCCGATGGAAGCTTCCAAAGGTATCCGACTGTACTGCTCCAGCTAGCAGATGATGACCGTTCCCCGGCTCGGCCACGTGAGAGCTCTCCGAAATCTTTCCATCTGGTCCCTCAGCTGTTGGAGGACCAGAGCTCTCCTCCTCCGATTTCTTATTTTGGTCCTAAAGATGGGTTCTCAAAAAACAAGTGGCAAGAATCCTCACCTCACCACCATCATCAGTATCGGTAGTATCATCTGTGCTGAATGTTGAGGGACGGGTCATAGGAGCAGGCGCGAAGTGTTCAGGTTGAGGTTGTCCATCTTCTGGAGGTGGGAACTGTTCGCCTTGGTCTTCTTGCGGCTGTTGTTCGAAGGTATGGACGCGTAGTGGAATAGGACGAGCCCCAGGGGTATTCGGAATGAACGCCGAGGAGACGCTGGTGTGGACCTGAAACATTTACTTCCGTCCGCAGATGTAGATCACGACCCCTTCCGTCACCTAGGTCGAGACAGTTACATAACCTCATACCTGCGGCGGATTCGGGTCATTTTCATCTGCATCAAAAGACGAAATCTTGGCCGTATTCAGAGTGCCGCTCAGCGGTGGTGGGCGTTCCGAATGGAATATCGAAGAACCCCGGAAACCGGAGGGATCGTTCATCTCGAAGTTGGAGTCGGCCTGTAACACGGGAAGATTTCCATAGACAAGTAACGAAAACATAACGAGAAAATTTTAGATACCTGGAAAACCGGTCCATTTCTTTGCTGGAAGCGTTGAACGCCTTCCGCTGGGCCGCTGCTGAAGCTGCCGCCGCTAGGGGCGAAATCCGTAGATGATTGGCGCGTTACGGGTCGAACTTGCATTGGGAAGACTAAAATACCGTTTGTTAATACGGTTTTAAGGTTCATCAAAGGTAGGCTTTGTCTTGCCGCTTTTTAAATTAAACTTTGAGATTACACCTGTCATCGAAACGATCAAAATATCAAAGACGAAAAATAAAATAAAGTTTAGATTAAGCCCTTCAATCTTTCGGTGATAATTCGCCCAATTTACGTTTTTAATAGAATTTATAACAAATTTTGAGTAAAAATGCCGGTTGTGTCCTACTTAGAGCTTTTGAACGCTCAGCGCTTTAATAAAAAACCAAGAGATGAAAGCCGTTCCCAAAATGTTTATTTTAGCTTATTTTCTCCAGGTTCTCAGTATTTACCAAATCGTTATTTTTCCTTATAAAAACCCACATCTCGTAATCCTGTTATTCGACGTTTTCATCGGCTGAAAACTGAACGACTCGCCACCGATCGGCAAAGTTTCCGTCTTTTCAGGTTCCGGGAACCTCGTGAAGGTCCTTGTAGTGGGCATCACCATCCAGGTGATTCTTCTTGGGGGTGGCGTGGGTCTAAACATCGTTTTAAAGGGGCAGCGATAGCAAAATGTAAAACTGAAACCTAGCGTCAACCTACTCATCAACGATCGGCTCAGCTTCTTCTACTTCCGGCTCGATTTCTACGGGATTTTCGGCTTGTCTTCGAACACCGGGTGGAAGAGCTTTAAATGAACAGGTTATGGTCAGCTAAAAATATGACCAAATTACCGTAGGCCAACTGCAGGATAAAACACATCAGGCCGAGTTGGGACCATGGTATCAGGCGCATCTTAAAAACCGGGAATACTAACGTAAGTAAAAACTTTGACCGAGGAAAGACATAAAGGAAAAGCTCGTAAAAACCGAAAGCCGCAAAAATATAGACAAAAAATCTAAACATTAAATACATTAAATAAAGATAGAAGAAACCGTTATATAGTTGAATGCACGCCTTAAAAATGGGTGAAACCAGAAAATTCCATCCAAGAATCGATACCGGAACCGATGCGTGCATAGTAAACAAGTGTAGGGTCGAGACGGTTCCACGGCTGTCGAGGATTTCCCGGGCACTGCCGGGTGGAAAATTGAAATTACCACCGAAAAAAGGGTACGGGATCGGCCGGGGAGGGGGGAGGAATTTCGACCAAACCCCGTTCTCCATAGATGAGTAATAGAGTTGACAGTTCGGATTGTGGAAAGAGATTATATAGGCATTTATCGAAACGGGTATTTTATAGTATTAATTTTGACATTTTTAAGTTTTTATTGGAAAAATATTAAGCTGGGAAACCGGATAAATACCAAAAATCTACTTTTTTTCACGAATCGGGTGAAATGTTTTTGATACGCTATTTTTCAGCCCATTTAATATTAATAAACTGCAAAACCAGTGATTCTTAATAAGCTATTTTCGGTTAGAATTTGTAAGTTTAGATACCTTAAATTGATGGTAAGCGAGCGCCATATTTCGCAATTTTTTTTGAAAACGTTGGTAAATGTAAGACCGTATAAAAGTGTTGTCTGTTTTGCGTTTTATTTGGATTCATTATGCTTTTTATGATAATCTTCAGTAATTAATCGCCTAAAATAGTTGAAAACAATAGTAAAAATAATTGTGTATAGTAGCCTAAACTTAAAAAAATGTAATAATAGCGGAAATTTCGGTGGAATCACTATCGATCATTTGACTAAAATTACGACATTTTATATTGCGCCAGGATGCAGAGAACCGGGGAAAATCTGAGGACTCCGTGTTGCCAGCCGGTAGACCTCTGTGAAGCGGATCAGGATTTCCACGCCTAGTTAGCCTCCGTCAAGTACCGTCCCTCCGAGGGGCATTTTTTAAGGGACAGCGAAAGTTGTTCGGGGGGCATTCGTGTCGATGGTCAGCCGGTTGTTGTCGAGTGGGTTTTCAGTAGGGAAAGTGGTTTCTCGCTATGCGACCCGGACGGCGCTGACGTTTGGACTGGTGGCATTTAAAAAAATCCAAAAATTACTCGATACTGCGGGTCATTAAAGTGGTGACACAATCGCACATTTCCAGACTCTCCTGTAAACTTCTCCTGGCTACAAGTGAAATTTTCTGCGTTAAGTTTAAACAATTCGAAGCTTCGGCACGGCCAGCTGGTTCATCTCTGAAAAGTGGACCATGATGTCAGTCTTCTGGCGGCGGTTGGCGAATGCCCATTTAAAATCACCATTTAGAAAGTCACGATTTCGAGAAGATGCGGGTTCTAAACAATCAGCCCGATTTTTTTCTAAGGACTGACGCGATTTCAATTTCAGGACCAAGGGCTAGAAATTTTAGTTCAATATAAGATTTTCTCTGTTTTTTTCACTCAGAATGGTGATTTTTCGAAATGATCGACCGATGATTTTCGAAATCCTGTATGGGAATCCCTAACGTCAATTTCAAAAATTGGGATTTTTCTCTGTGCTGCCCGGATATTCCTATTTTTCAATGCAATATTTTAGTTGATTTCCGACAGAAGATGGCTTATTCATCGGGCATTTCGAAAGGCGATCGGGAAAGGCTTACATAAGGGCGCCCTAGCTACTGATAAATCGCAGAGGGGTGGGTTTGGCATTTTAAACGCAGAACCTTTGAAGCGTGTTTGCTGCCTGCGGCCAAATACTATTCTTTCATGCTTTTACTGCTAATTTGGTAGTAGCTACATGTCGCCTTTATACCAAGATGTGGAGTTCGGCGCGGCGCTGTTTTCTTGTTAATTTTTTGAGCCTTTCGAAAAATTTTTTCCCGGGCCCCCCGAAATTTTTTTCTGGCTACGCCCCTGGTTGGCAGTAAGAAAATTTGCTGCTGCCAACTATGGCAAATACAGTTTATCAACATTTTGTATGCAACCAATTTAACGCTTATCACAAAATATTTGTCAGCATCCCCGATGCTGACAAAGCCGACCGCTTCGAGAAGCCGAAAAAATAGATTACTGCGCCCCAGCATCTAATAAACGTGATAAGACCGCGACTGCGACCGAGAAAAAACTTGCGACACAGAATTCCTATGAAATCGATAATTGAGATCTGCTAACATTTCCTAATTATGGCGCCTGAATTTTATCCTGCGGATTTGCCGGCAGGGGCCAAGCTGATCCGGCAGAATCATGTACGAATTTGGATCCACAAGGAAGAGTAGGCTTCTTGGACTCTGGAATTATGTGAATTTTATTAGGCGAGACGTGAGGAAAATCTATGGCTATTTGAAGAGCCCTGACAGGCCATCAGAAGCCACACTTGAGGCTCGACGCTGTTTTAGACGGGAGCGTGTGATTCACGATGCAATTGAGCTGCGCCCATGCAATCACCTACTTACGATCGTTCCGGATTCGCTGCGAATCTCTGAACATGGAGATTATGTCTATGGGATCTTGCGATTTCCTTACATGGACTACACGCTTGAAGAGGGTTGGTCAATTTTCATACTTCATGGAAGGTGGATTCTCTAGAACATAGCCCGATTAGGGACTGGACTATTAATGGGGGGGGGATTTTAGCAAGTGGAACTAATTTTTCCCACTAATCCTGTACCATCCTATAATATAATAAAACCCATTTGATGGTATTTTACATAGTTTTTAGATATAAAAAGCTCAGCAAAAACCCATACCAATTTTCGAAAATTCTTGAGTCTCTGGTCAAAGATCTGTGAAATGACCATCAAAGGTCAAAATTTCGAATAGTGTTTAAAGATTTTTGTGTACTTTTCTCGAAATTAAAAACCACGGAACGATTTGGAAAAATACGCTATTTATTATTAAGAGTTACCTATAAATGGAAAAGAAAAATTCGTTTTCCCTGCTAAAATCCCCCCACCCCGCTAGCCGTCTTATTCTTTGTATTAACAGCCTGAATAAACGCTTCGGATTATATCCCCGAAAATTATTTAATAAAAAACAATTTTATAGTAAGACACAACCCACAGCTTCACTACTCTGCAGCTGATGTACTCTCTGCCGCCATGCAACTCACAACCGGTTTGACCCACCTGCACGACAATTGAAAATTATCCATCGGGATTTGAAGCTCCAAAAGTCAGTTAAAAGCATAAAAAAATACAAAGCGCTATTTTAGTGTCTTCTTGGATCAACACGGCACCGTCAAGATCGGCGACTTCAACATCTCGCTCGTCGCGTTCTGGACTGATCCCGATAGATTGACGGGCACCGGGACGACTCGTTGCATGGATCCGAGAGCACTGGTGGATAAAACGGTTTGTAGCTGACTTTTGCACAACCCTTTCTTTAACAAAATCTTGTAAACGTTTTAACCAACGATTTCAGGCCGATTCTGCGTGCGACATCTGGAGCCTGGCGGTTGTCTTATGGGAATTGACGACCCGAGAGTAAGCTTTAGAACAGATATTATTTATTCTGATTTTATTAATCACTCATAGATGGTTATCATACAATTTATTTATTACCAATATATAGACAATGCTTCCGCCACATTCCGAAGGAAAAGTTTTTCGAGTTTCACCGAAGAAATGAATGGGTCGTGCCGCCACTAAACGGGCAGCATTTCATCGTTGACTTCATTAGAGCGTGAGTTAAAGTATTGATTTTTGAATAAGAGCAGTTCATAAAGCATAAGTGCGAGCGGCAAAACTGGTAAAGGGTGGCGCGCCGCACGCGCGTGCCTGAAATCTTCGCATCTGTCCAGCTACCGCTCGAGTTTTGCTCACAGTCCCAATTTCGCCGACATACACCTTGCATCATTATCTTTTTAGATGTTCCGAAGAAGCCTCATTCCGCCGTGGCGCCGCCGATCTATCCAAAATTATCAACCAGCACGCCGAAAAGGTAATTATTTCGATAACCGGGTAATTGTGACTTTTTTTAAGAATCCGCCGCTCTTCAAGAGGCGATTTGATGTTGCCAATGTGGAAAGCTCCGAGCTTCTGAAACCAAGTGGACTTGAACATCTAAAGCCTGGCAGCTGCGCAATTTACGAGTACTTCCGACGGCTCGGCCCTTGTATGCAGAATTTGGCCGAGGAAAGCGATGCTGACGTGGATGCCTTCGGGGGCAGCGTTCATACGGGCCTGAGCGACGAGTTGAGCAAAAGCCAATCCTCAAACGGGACGTTGGAAGCCGATATTGAACGGCGCAAGGAAATACAGACAGCCCAATCGTCCTCAAACTCAACTCTCAGCTCTATGCATGCGCTACCGGTAGCTGAAGACAATCACCGAGGGCCAGGCCCGGGTACTTTGGAAGAACATCAGGAAGGCTCGACGATTCTGCAACCTAATCCAAGTTTTTCCTATGGCGACCCGGAGTCCGCCGAATCAACGCTCGTTAATAGCTCAGAATGCTCGGATGACGAGAGCGAAGTAAATACACTAATCTCAACTTTCGAAATTGAAGACGCAGAAGGGTTTACCAACGAACAAACCACACGTATAGATCAACATCCCACAAGTATGACAACTGCTCAAAATAGCGTAAGTCCGGGTGACGCTCTGCTACTGGATGTGACTTGGCAGCGCCTCGCTGCAACATTGCCGGCAACACATTCGCAAACTGAGGCTCGTATTAGCGCTGCAAGGTGTGAGAGTGCGCCTTCTACCTCGAGAATTGAAGCACGACCTAGCCGATCTGAGCTTGGCTGCTTAAAAGTGAATCACGAGGTTGCGATCGTTGTTCCACCTACTATTCTACGGTCTGAAGCGGAACCCGGAACCGCAGCTTCGAGTAATGGAAATCGCGATGGCCCACGCCCACCTCCGCGGTTCTCCATGGCGGTAGCAACCCCACTACAGCCGCGTGTCGATGATGAGCATCGGGAGAACATGGCAAGGCCATTGGCTGCAATTTCGGGACAGGAAGTGAGCAGCGGCGTCTATGGAACAGTTCCTAGCAGGGGCTTACTCGCGATTCCCGGTCGGTTCAAGATTTGGGGCGCTAGGCGTCATAGAACCATGGACCGCAGCTGATTGCAAATGCTGTTGATGCATGCGAAGCCAAAAACATGTCTTGATTTTGCGCTTTATTTCATATTTCAACTCGCCAGCTGATTGGGTTCGTTCTCCTGTACAGGGTGTTCCATAAGTATTGTCGTTTTTCAAGGCGTCATATCTTTTCCCACTGAGCAATTTGAGCCATTTAATTAAGTAGGCTAGCTTCAGACAAGCCTTAGAAACCACTTTGCTTTAGAAAGTTTTTTGGAATAATGGTTTCTAAGAGAGATAATTTGTCTAAAGTGGGCGACAAAAGGTTGGGGAGCGCCGTGCCAGAATTTCGGGAAGAAGGGCTCTAAATCCAGCGATTGAGAGTCAGGATGTTTTTTCCAGCGAGTTCATGGTAGCTTCAGCATTGTTCCGCATTTCCCCAAATGGAAATTTAGCCAGCTTGGCGCTTGAAGGAGCTATGGCCTCCGCAATGTTGGACGAAAATCCGCAAATTCAGGGCATCCCGTCATTTTTTAGTTTTCGAAGTTTTATTTCTTCCTAGGGCTACCCCCGGGGCAATCTTATATGGTATTCCTATGCTACCTGACGTCTTCTTTCCCATGTCATATTGAGCTAGGCTCCTGTCACTTTTTAGACTTTGATTTGAACTAAAATTGGCTGGCGCATGCCACTAGACAAAAATCTCGATTTTCTTGAAATTCATGTGGAATTCTGCGCTTAAAATTTGGGAATAGTTAAAAAGAAGTCTAAGCTATACCCAAAAAAATTGTTACAGTTTTCCCAGCTTTCTAGCAGCCACGATCTCGGTTTTACATACGGGGTAGGCCGAGGGCGGCGCACCGGGTTCCCCGAAACTTTGAATAGCGCTTGCTCAAAAACGGAGATGCGAAAATTTTTGTTTGGAAATTTTGCTAGCAGAGCTTTACTTGTTCTTTCAATTTTCAGGCAAGTTTAGTGAATAAACAATTGTTTTGTCGCCAGCGGAGCCTCTCAAAAGCCATTTTTAAGCTGAAATTTGGAGGTTCTCTAGAAACTATGTGCTATAAGCTCGAAATCTCAATACGATCGTGAAACCTATCCTACCATTGGATAGAGGAGAGAAAACTGCATAAGGCATACGCTTAACTAGCCGATCGCACACGGCCCCGATTAGATACAGCCGGCCAAAGGGCGCGACAATACTTATGGACCGTCCTGTATATCTGGATACGAAGTTGTATGCTTTCTCTGTGGTTTAATCAGCTGTTAATATTTATTTATTGAGCCTTTGATGAATAAAGCTTTCTTGCTGTGAAAATCGGGGCCGATTGTTTGCCGACACGTACAAACAATTAGCGAATTAAACTAACACTACTCCTCCGACTCTTTCATCAAAGCCTATTGTTACTTTAAAAAACGTACAAAAACTGTTAGCGTCAGAACTGATGCCCTAGCCGATCGGTTCCATTCAAGTGTTCCTGCTTCATTCCAAGTACGTTTGCTCTCCCAGTGGCTACAGCCATCGGAAATTATTTTCATGCCTCTTTAACTAATTCTGTCAAATCGGGTTCTTTAGGATTCGCGGCGGGGGCGGGGAGAACCAATTTTTCCTGGCGGCCCCGGTTGACCTGGTAATCAAATCTAAAGTGGTTTTGCAATGTTCTTAGTCAGTTTAAACTATATTTAAAACAGTAAAACTTTCAAAAAAAAAAGAAAAATATTTGAAAAAGTCGAAAATTTGGTCATTTTGGGTCCTTGCACCCCTCCCCCCCCGCGAGTCCTAAAGGTTCTATAGGATTTTGCGACCTAAAACTTAATTTATTTTATTAAATTTGTGTAGTCTTTATGCTTAGGAATAGTTAAAAGCAATCCGCTATTCATAAAAAACCTAGGCTTGTGCCGAAAAATTCGCGTGTTAGCCGTGGTTCAAAGATCCGCTGAATATCATTTATTTCGGCCGTTGTTCCATCGGGTGACACTCGATGCAGGGGCCGTGACGATGATTCGTGGAGTTGTGGATGTGTTTACAAACAAGCAGAAAGTAAGGAACTAAAGAATGTTAGAGCCTTTTGAATCCAGCACTTTACCCTTGCCAACACGCGTAAGCTGCGCAGTGTTTCTTCTCGGAAAGCACGTGTTGCCAATAGGATCGTTAGACTATTCGCAATAGAATGGAACGATACCCACAGCGTGAACAGCCCGGCGGCTAGCATAAAGCCTTCCGTTTCGAACATCAAATCTCACCACGAACGATCGGCTCCCATTCGATATAGTGCAGGAAAACGAGGAGCAGCAAAAAAATGGGCAACGCCAGAAAACAGACGCCAGATACTGACTAAAGCGGAAAACGATTTAGCGAGTGAAAAGTAAAAAACTATGACAAAAAATAAAGTAAACTATTGACTATTGACTACGATATACAGGGTGTACAGGGTGTCCCAATAAAAACGTCCCTCTAACTCGACGGGGAAGTATCGGATCGGAATGAAAGTTACACGATTCAAAGGCCTTGAAACGGCGAGTCTGCAACCATTTTCCAAACCGTGTTTCTATCCAAACCAGCTTTGTACACGCCGTTTTGTAAAATTTTTGCTATTTTTCGGGTTCCGAGCTAATTTGCTTCAATTTCTCCAAACAAAACAATCGGAAGTGGCCGCAATTATATAAAAAAATATTTTTGGAGATCGTAGCAAACTCGCAGTTTCAAGGGCCTTCGAATGGTGTGACTTTCGCTCCGATCCGATACTTCCCGGTCGAGTTAGGGGGTTTTTTCTAATGGGACACCCTGTATGTTTTTTCCCCATAATAAGTGAATTCGCCTCCAATATTTTTGCTTGTTATAGGCGTAAAGAAGAGCCAAAATTGCCTTATGTCCCGAAATCGGAGGGTGGGAATCCATGTTTTTCGCTCATAAAACGCAATTTTTAGGTATGCGGACAGCTAGCCACCGGTAGATGATTTGCGCGGTAGTTTGCCCACTATCTTTGACAATCCTGTTCAACAAGACAGCTTTGGTATGCGAGGTCTTACCTGCAAAAAGAACACTATCCAAATATATCGGCGCATGTACTGCGTCCGCCGGCTCTCCCCCGGGTTTCGCTCGACGTAGAAATATTGATAGTAGTTCGTGCCGCATAGATGCATATAAAAGATTACTGTGATAACGGTAATTACGGCCATGATGTTCATCATCGTCACCATGAATGGGTGCAGTTGGATGTAGAAGAGATTTGGGATGCCGCAAAGGTCTGGCTGCTCATTGCAGATCTGAAAAGGCCGCGCTGGGACTGTACAGCGTATCCCAAGAACATCATCCTGCTCCCTCTAGCCGACCGCAGACGTGTCCGATTCTTACGATTTAGGTAGCTATCGAAAGCTCTCGAAAAGGCGAGTCCAGCAAGTTTCTCCGATTTTCGAATTTTTGGAAAATTATGTTCAAAAGTCACCCTAAAGGCCCGAGTTCTGTTGAAACGTACGTAGCGTTTTAATTCCCTATGATCGTAAATAGGTGGGTTTGTTTTTTTCGGTTTCTTGCAAATAACTCCGTTCATGAAAAGTACTTTTACAATTTTAATTGAAAATTTGCTCCCACATAGACTATTTCCAGCAATTTGAGTGGTTTAGTTTAATGAAAGATCCGTTGCCGGAAATCTCAAGAATCCGTTTGGCTTGTATCGCTTTTGCGGCGAGTGGGCGGGGACTGCACGTTGTTAGAGCGTCATTTCCATTGGTACGGCGCCAAAGTGTACCAGAACAATACTCGGGATTTTAGGGTACTAATATTTTTGGCAAACGGGGGTTAGTATTAATATCTTTGGCAAGGTAATTTTCTGAGGGTTTCTGACCAAGGGGTTTTAAGGTTTATAAAAAATCATAATTTAAGGATTGTTACGCTTTTCTTGGGTGCCCAACGACAGCTTTTTGAAAGCCGTTTGCGAAAACACAGCTTGGATAACCTAACACCGGTTAAATTGAGTTTTTGACAAAAAGCGTGTCCTTTTTGCCTCAAAAATACTGAAAATCTAGTAAAAATAGCGAAATTTTGAAAATCGAAGTTACATACTGGATTCGCTTTCTCAAGAGCTTTCTATAAATCGCCCGATCGTTCTTTAAATCTCAAATTCGAAAAGGTCTGAGGCCGGCTAGAGGGGTGATTTTTTGGGGCACTCTGTAGAGGATGTGCTTACCTGGTCTGGGTCGTCGAGCACCAGCTTTTGATCGTATGACACCCATACCGATATGTTCACGAGAATCACCAACAGAATAGTTAGCCCGAATACGTAATAGCTTGCGATCATATAGTAGACTTCATAAAGTTGCGTGGTCTTTGATGCCTTCATCACACCCGTATACAGAAAAGCACAAATTGAGTGTGCCAGAAAGGAGAAATAAAGGCTCTGTGGAGCTGAGTAATTCGTTTTTTCTAGCCTACCGATGCTAAATGGAATCGGAATCGATCGTGTTGGATGAAGGTCAACTCCATTTTCACGGCCGGATAGGGCGCGTAGATCAGGGGTTGGCAAAACCAACCGGTAGTATCCGCCAGCTGCGACGAAATCTGTAGTAATATTTTCAACCCTTTATAACCGGCAAAGCTGACCAGCAAGTTCAGCTGCGCCCATTTGTAACTCCTTGAGATTGCGGTTTTTTGAGTTTGCATAAAATAGATGATAAGCCCAAACACGACGAGGCCGACGATCGAGAATCCCACATATAGGGCCGTGATGCATGCCTCGTATTGCGGGGACGGGTTATACATTTTGGCTTTTGGACCTTCATTTCAAAGGAAGGCCGCGCCTTCAAAAAAAATCGATGTTGATGCAGGTGATATTAAATCTACGCCTTGGCAGCTGCTTGTGCGTGTTCTGTGTCTGCTCCTTGAACTTAAAAAATTACAACAAATCCCGTCTTAATGTCTGTTTTGACCAGCTGTTGCTTACCTGGCTAACCTTGCAACTCGGCATCGAATTTCATAACGCTAGACAAAACTGAGGTCGATTGACAAGGGCTGGTATGCGTAGTAGGAGAGGTTTCGGCGTAAT